TTAATACAAAGGAAGAAGTGGCAACCATCAAAACCTGCTTCTTTGCCTCAGAAATAGAAAAAGAGTTAAAAGACGTAAATGATAAGAAGCGTGAAGGCGTACATTTTTCGTTGTCTATCCGTTGTCCTTTTCACGACAAAGACGTCTGAATTTTCTTAAAACCAGTGCTAAAATCTTCAATAACTAAAAGAAAATTTAATTTTGCAATAAAATTTTTTTTAAAAATTAGCAACATCGTTATGCCTTATTGAGGCTATTTAAAGAGTGAAAAAAAATCGAGAAAAGATAAAAACTAGACATTCATAAACATTTTCCCTTTGTTCTACTGTTTCTAATGGCTATTCTAAATACTAGCGTTTAATAGCGACGATAATGAATTCCGTTTATCTTTTTTTATTTTGTAATGTGAAAAGTTATTTCACTCATGCTGAAATCTGGATTATCTTTGGTAATTTGAACTAGACTTGAAAATAAATACTCGCCACGGTGGCTGGTCGACAAGGAAAAAGGTTTCGACTTAAATTAAGTAAACAACTAATCATTTTTTAATCGTTTTCTTTTATACATATATATTTTAGTTTGAAAATAGTTTTATGATGAGTATTTTGTTTGATGATAAAATCGCTTTTTTTCTGGTTTAATGCAGAAAGAGACATTGGAAAACAAAATATTCATTAAACTGTCCTTCTGTCATCTCCATTCCAAATTTTGAATCCTACAGAATCCATCAATTTGTGGTGGAAAGATTCATGTGGAAGGAGAGTTCTTTAATAATTCATGCTGCAATGTATTCAATACAATTTGCCTCTCCAAATATTTTTAAATAAAGAGCTTTAAAGTAAGCTTTAAAGGAACACTATGTGTTGGTAAGGGAAATTAATGTCAAATAATCCATTGTTCAGGGGAATTGTTTTTTTTAATTCCTCTTATCTGTTAGTTTAATAACATTAGAATGATTGTCTACTTCTAAACCAAGTTTAGTTTAATAACATTAGAATGATTGTCTATTTCTAAACCAAGTTTTCGATCTCTAAGCAATGCGCTAACTTGAGACAATTTTCCCACGTACAGTGCGAACCACCAGGAATAACTTTTGATCTAATAATCGAATCTTCGCGATCTAGGACTCAATCTTCGGGGTTTGATCTCAAATATGCTAATTAATTAAGCTCTGGCTCAGGGGATAGAGCGTTCGTCTTTCAATGCGGTGAACCGGGTTCGAATCCCAGTCGATGCGAATTCCGCATCCGGCTTGCAACGACCACAGTGCTGGCGTGAAATATTCTCAGGGGTAGACGAATCATGGGTTAGAGTCCCCTTGCCGTTCGGCTAACCGTGGGAGGTTCTCGTGGTCTTCCTCTCCATGTAACGCAAATGCGGGTTAGCTCGATCAAAAAATCATCGACCAAGGCAAATTTCTCCCAATACTTGATCCAGGAGTTCCCTTATCTTCTGGATTGGGTTCAAAATTACAAGGCTACGGAGTTGAACATTAGTAGTAGTAAACCCATAAAATTGGGTCGGCTGTTCAACGAAGGTTGTAAAAAAAAATTAATTAAGACAAACAATATTTTAAGTTACAAAATTTGAGACAAAAGCTCTGAATCTTGAGGAACTCTGAATAAACATACCTATTTTTCGAAGGATTCGGATTTCTGACCCCAAAAATATAAGGGGTAGTTGGGACCCCATAATGTTAGCTTCTTTTGTGTATTTCACCATAGCTCGAGAATTTTTTAAGCGAATCGAAAAAATTTTGCTCGCAATTATAAAATTCATTTATTCAAAGATGATTCCAGAAAAAATGTAACTTTTACTAAAAATTAATTATTCTTTATTATTTAATTTTATTAGAGGTCGAGAAAATCTTGAATAATAAGGTATACCTTAGAATTCTAAATTTTTTCGACTTTTATTAAGCAAAATAATTAAATATAATGCATTTTTACTGAAATAATCATGTTTTGCATGAAATTATCTTTGGTTAAACGAAATTCCAATTTAAACATTTAACATTTTAAAATTAATTATATCTTTATTATATTTTTCAAAAAGTTTAGTTGTTGTTGTTGTTGTTGTCGTGTCTATGCATGCAGTGCTAGTGCAAAGATTAGAGTCCTCGTAAAGTCTTGATAACGAGATTTGCAAGTTCTGGAGCCCGATGACCGTGAACAAAAACTTTAGTACGGAATATATATTTCTTTATCTACGTCAACATTCATTTTGAAAAAAAAAAAAAAAAAAAAAAAAGGNAAAAAAAAAAAAAAAAAAAAAAAAAAAAAAAAAAAAAAAAAAAAAAAAACTTTTTTGTTTGATAAGATGCAGTTTACTAAACACGAATTTCAAAATTATCCGAATTTCTAATTTCAGAAATTTTTGACAATTCTTTAAATTTCCTAATCTTTTTATTTCCTAATTTAAAGAGCATTTACCAGTAATATTTAATTTTCTTAATTTACTCTGCTATTATTATGTTTTTGGTTTTGATTGTTTTCTAAATTCAGAGTTTTAAAATAAAAGATTTACTTCTTTATTATAATGTGATTCTATTTTAACTCATTATCAATATTATTATTAATTCCGTTAAAGAGATTCGGTAAATAATTTATAATTTATTGATCAGCTTCATGCACAATGTGATGCATTCAAAAATTGTGTTTAATAACAGCCTGTTTGATAAACGAAAATATTAAACTACGGTTGCGAACTCAAGAATTTCGTCATAGCTATATACCTCGAATTTAAATTTTAGTTAAAAAAATTATTACTAAGCAAAATTATTCATGATCACCATTATATCTTGATAGAATCTTAAGGGAATCAGAATCAAATGAGATTTTTGATATTATTTGCCAATAGAATTTAACTCAAAACAAACGTAAAATTTAGAAAAATGAGTGCAAGAAGCGGGAAGTGGGGTAAAAGCGTAAGTAAACAGAATTCTTTATAGTCCATATATTTTAAGTGAATAGTTTAAACTTTCGTCGAAAAGACTGTCTTTTGCTAAGAAGCAACAATTATTGCGAAGCAATCATTTGGATGGCAACGAACCCTTTTCTTGGGCCAACTTTCGTTCTTTTGTTTTATTTTTTTTTTAAATTAATGTTAGGCAAAAAGAAACTATAGAATATATGCACTTAATATTTTACGTCAGTATTTATGAAAAGTAAGTGTTTGTACACTCTAAAACAGTGTTTCCCAAAGTGTGGTACGCGTACCCCCAGGGGTACGGGAACGGTTAATTTAGCGGGGGTACGCGTTTAAATACGATATATCTTGCAACAAACGCAAATTTCAAAAATTTTTATTTCTAAACAAAGCTGGCCATGAAAATTTACGATTACGTATTTCTCTATTGGCTATTTTTTGCAGAGTTAACAGTTAATAATTGAGCCGCTCAGAAGCCAATGCGGTTAAGTCCATTTTTTGATATTTTCTGATTTTTGGAAATTTTGATGAAATAAATAATAATCTTCTTAGTTANACCGTAAAAAATACCTTCTTTTTTTTTATTAGTGGTACACAGCGTTACGAAAAATTTAGAAAGGGTACACAAAAGTCATAAGTTTGGGAAACACTGCTCTAAAATATATAGATGATTATTAAATTAAGATTCGTACACTGAGAAAAAAAATATAATCAAAAATATCATAATATGGTAAAATTTACCGTGTTTCTGGCTCAATGGAAACACTAAAAAAATTTTATAATTTTTACCGAAACACTTTGGTTATGATTTTAGTGAAATTAACAATAAAATATAATTTTAAAATCTGTGATAAAGTAGTAGGTAGCTGTAGTAGGTTTGGTAGCAGGTAGTATTATCACGATACATTAGAGCAGGGTATAAAGACCATTTATCCGGTAAAACTTACTTTTCAATTTTGTATTTTTTTACTAAATTTGTAGTAATAAGAACTATAATTTTGAAAATCAGAATTTTTGGTAAACTGTTACCATGTGAACAGAAAAATTCCGAAATGAATTATTTAAATACCGCATATTTTGGTGTTATTAACCAGAATTACGTTTTTTTTTCTTTTTTTCCTTTTTTAAACTCATTACCATTTTTTTTATCCGTGGAAAAAAGCGATTTTTTTAGTATCTGATTTATTTAGTTTATTGCTTATTACATATTTGAAATCAAAAAACTCAATCTTCGATATAAATAACACTTCCAATTTATTTTAACAGGCAACCAATATTGTTTTTATCAAAATTCTTTTTTTTTTCTTTCTTTTTTTTTTAAAAAAACAAAAAAACATTTTTAATAAAATATTTTTCTAAGCCCAATATGTGTAAGGGATAGATAAAATAATAATGTATTATGTCTTTCATGCCTATGAATAAATACAAAATTTAGAAAATATCATTCGGATAATTTCCAATTCACTAACTAATGAGTAATGAAACACAAACATAATGAAAAGGCAATTCTAAAAACTATCATTATATTTCGTGTAATTACCATTCGTACTCATTACTTTCGTACAAACATTTTATTCATATTTGATACATTTAAGCCTATTTGAAATAAACAATAATGAGAGATAAAACAAACTTTAGTTTTAGTGAAAGAAATAGCATTTTGAATAAGATAACTCAATTTTAACTATATTGACTATAATACTATAAGACTATAGAATGCAATAAGATTATATTGTTTTTATGAACCTAATTTTCACTGTTTCTGTTCCATTGAAAAAATTTTAATATCCTAAATTTAACTTGAAACTCCATTGAGTGATGATTTTTCCAAAAATTCGTTTCAGAGTGTAAATTTGTTTTTGCATTTAAAATAATTTTTTGATAATGAAAACAAGTTCAGGCACTTCTTCTTAGTCATAAAATTAATCATAAGAAATTCCTTAAAAAGATAAACAGGAAATACTCAAAATTAAAGTGATTTTAAAAACTTTGTGCCTTTAAACTAAAACTTTTCGCATCGGCAATGTTTGCAAAATAATTCTTGAACCAAAGTTAGTAGAAAGGTTACTAACCTTTATTTAATTAATGAGAAAAGCAACAGGTCTTCCAAATTTTCTTCAGAAAAAGTTGGCACAAATCCTTTTGAAGTAGTTCTAAGGAAATATTACGTCACAAAACTTTTTAAAGTGCCGAGAAAAAATACTATTTATATGTAAAAGAGACGCAAAAATGTCACAATGCATCACTACATTGCTGGAGTAGTTAAATGTTCCATATGCTATGCATTATTGAACTATAAAGAGTTTATAAGCTGAGTTGATGACGAAACACTGTTTATAAAATCGTCCCTAAAATTGGCAAGATGTCAACACACAAATGTCATTAAAATCTCGCTACTTAGAAACACCATCGAAAAATCATGCGTTTGCAATGTGTGTATTTTTATAATTTATTTTGGTGTCGTATTTATCAATTAATTATTTCATTTGTATCCTTTAGAATTTTTGTGCAAATACTGAGTTTCTATTTTTAAGAGAAAGACAAAATAAAGAGATAAAATAGAGTCTGTCCTCTCAACTCTTCTTATAGTTACAATTGCTATCGTCTGCTCTCAGGAGTAAAGTAAGGGTTGCTTTATTTGAGTTTTTCCTTGGCGATGGATTCATATTTCGCCAAGTTAACACGCCTAGAGAGTTACTCGTATTGTCATCCCGTCTTAACCACTGGGTGATGAATGGCACTGTTTCAATCAGCTATGCAAAAACAAAAACCCTTCATTTATAAATTGTTGATGCGTGCTATTGTAATTTGTCTCTCATTTTCTATTTGAAATGATTTATAATGGCATGTGATAAATTAAAGACCTAATAGTTTTTGAGAGCGAATATTAATTTTTGAATTAAACCTTTTTCAAACACAAGTGGGTCCAGTGTCGTATCGAGATGCTTTTTGCAGGGTGGGGGAGTTAACCCAAATAATTAGCGCGTATACGGGCATAGGCGTAACGAACTAATAATTAATTACAAAACAAATAGTGTGCCCTTCCATCAACGATATTCAATTTTTGTTGTAGCTGGAGAAAAAAAATTTTTTGTACATTTTAACATACGACCAATTTCTTAAAATCTTTCTTTGTACTCATATATATAAGCACAAAATACTTACATGATCATGTATATACATGTATAAAATCATAAATATTTATCCACTTTTCCATTACTTCTCGCCATTACTATTGTTTTTTTTGTTTGTTTTTTTTCTAATTTATTTTCAGGTTTACGAATCATTGTACCCACTATGTACTTACAGCTAATAAAGTGATCGTTGTTTGAAATGGAAATGTCTATTCCAATTAGCACAAGAATTAACGAAAGAAATAGTAACTTAAATTAATGTAATTAATGTAATTTGGGCGAAATCATCATTATGTAATTTGAGCGAAATAATGTAATTTGGGGCGAAATCATCATTATGTAATTTGAGCGAAATAATGTAATTTGGGCGAAACCATCATTATGTAATTTGAGCGAAATAATGTAATTTGGGCGAAATCATCAATATGTAATTTGAGCGAAATAATGTAATTAGGGCAAAATCATCAATATAAATGAATTTTCCTGCAGCTGATATAAATTGTAATTTTTGCACTGAGAAAAAAAAAATATCAAAGCTACCAGGATATGGTAAAAGCGCAATTTTTGGCAATTTTTACCGAAGCGCTTTGGTAATAATTTTGGTAAAATTAACAACAAAATACGATTTTACAATATGTGATAAAATTCGGTAAATATAAAATTTGGTAATTTTATCATGATACCACATTAGCATCGCATTAAAACCATTTATTCAGTTAAATTTTCTTTTAAGGTATGTAATTCTTCTAAATGTGTGGTAATCAGAACTATAATTTTTAAAACTAGAATTTCCTAGTAAACCGTTACCGTATAAGTAGAAAAATTTCCAAATGAATGGTTTAAACACTTTTTGGGTTTTTATTACCAGAATTATGTTTATTTTTACCGGAAATGATATTACCATACAGTACGGAAACTTTACCAGAATTTTTTTCCTCCTGTGTAGTTACACTAACTTAACTGTTTCTCGTTCTCTTTGGTTTAGAAACTAAAAAAAGGAAGAAAACGATAGACTTTATGAAGTTCAAACAATGCATGAGTTTAAATGGAAGTTGTCCAACATATCCACATTACCAAGACACCCGTGAGCCGCTATGTCTTACACTTTATTCATTGTTTATCAAGAACTAAACTCATTTATTTGAACTTTATTTGTGCTTATTTATTACTTCAATCTATGAAATGAAAACAGACCGCATTATACAAAAAGCTAAAGTTATTGAGTTATTTATTAGTAGAAAAATCTCCATGAAACCTTTTGAAAAAAGACTGAAAATATTATTGTTTTACACACTTTTTTAAAATTTAAGGCGTAACTAAATATAGTAGATTCCTTTCTTATTAAATAATTAATATGCTATCAATATTTTCTCCTTATAACATGCATGAATTCCAAGATTAAGTATTTGGCTTTCGTAGAAAATGGTGCAGTCTTCGCTCTTTTTTACTTACGCTCGCATTTTTAGCTTATATTTATAAAACAAATGAGCTAAATTAAGTCGTTCTTCTCACAATTAAAACTATTTATAAATTGTGCTCCGTTTTATCATCTGAAAATATCGTTCGGATAAATAAATCCTATTTATTTTTTTCACGCCCTGTAAAGAACAGTGTTGATCTTTGTTAGAATTCCCTGGAATCTTGGCATGCAAATTCACACACAACTTTCCAAGAGTTAAGTAAGATCTTCCAATATAGCTTCAAATCAAGGTTGTCTTAGGGATGTATTTTATTTAGCTCTAACAGTCTAAACAAAATAAGATTTTGGAAATATTTCGTTGCCCATTCATACTATTTATTACATGAATTTAAAATATCTACATTTTGTGTCATTTTACAACTATAAAATTTAAATATGATCTTCAAACGTTAAGTAAGATCGATAAATTTAAGTAAGATCTTCCAATATAGCTTCAATTCAAAGTTGTTTTAGGGATGCATTTTAATCAGCTCAACCGTCTGAACAAAATAAGATTTCGGAAATATGTCTTTGCCTATTCTTACTAGCTTTTGCATGAATTTAAATTTACTATATTTTGTATAATTTCACAACTATAAAATTTAAGTAAAGTTTTAAAAAATTATGCAGGATTGATAAATTTAAGTAAGATCTTCCAATCGAAATTTCAAATCACGGTTGTCTCAGGGTTTTATTTATTTAGTTCAACAGTTTACTCAGAATAATTTTCGGAAATATTTCTTTGCAGTTATTACTAGTTCTTGCGCAAATTTAAATTTACTATATTTTGCATAATTTCACAACTATAAAATTTTAGTAAAATTTAAAAAAATTATGCAAGATTGATAAATTTAAGTAAGATCTTCCAATCGAAAGTCAAATCAAGGTTGTTTCAGAGTTTTATTTATTTAGTTCAACAGTTTACTCAGAATAATTTTCGGAAATATTTCTTTGCAGTTATTACTAGTTCTTGCGCAGATTTAAATTTTGCTTTATTTTGTTTAATTTCTCGACTATAAAGTGTAAGTATGATCTTTAAAAATTAACTAAGATCAATAAATTTAAATAAGACCTTCCAATTTAGCCTCCAATCAAGGTTGCCATCCGAATGTATTTAACTGAGTCCAACCTCTTAAACAAACAAAACTTGTGAATATTTCTTTGGTTATTCGTATTTGCCTTTGCGTAAATTTAACCCTTTGATGAACTTATATTAGCATATTTCTCATAGTTTTTATTATTTTGCATTAATTCAAAATAAGTGAAAAATAATAGATTCAGCATTTTATGAAATACAGTATGAAGCACCAGTTTTTTTTTTTCTGTGTCAAAGGTAAAATATTGCAAACACAGCTCACTACTAAACTATAATTTTTAAAATTCGCAATTTATTTGCAGTCATTTAGATCTAAGAGAAATAGTTATTCATCATTGAAATTTCTTTAATTTGCAAAATCAATTATTGATAAATTTTTGATTATGAATGAGAAAAAAAAGTCTTTTCAAACTTCATTTTTTTTTTCAAATTTAATAATTTAGAACAAGTATAATTCCGATAACAGTTTTCCGATCTAACAGTTTCTTTGTTAACTATTAAATTTTGATTTATAATTAAAAAGATATCAACATATATTTTTGCTTATAATTAGAGCATCAGAAAAAATATATATAAAAACGGACACCGGTGCCCTCTCTGTTTCAAAAGGTTAAACTTAGTATATTCTGTTTCATTTTCGACCATAAAATGTAAAAATTTATATTCATCTGTCACACAAAGAGTGATTAAAACCGAAGAAAGCTTATCAGCGCCGTGAAAAAATTAAAAAACTGGTTGTAAATTTTGTAGAAAGAAGTCCCAAAACCATTTTATGTTTCCAATTTTATAATTCTTAAAACAGAAATATTTAATAAAATTTATGTAAGGAAAGTGATTTTTTATAAAAAATAAATAAATAAATAAAATAAAAAAATAAGGAAGTTGAGGAGGTGCGATTTAGAATATACTTTTAGAAACTTTATTATTAGTTCTTTATTTTTCTCAGAACGTTGGGAAACCGAAATGGAGTCTAAAAAGTTGCAGACAAAAATATTATAAAAATGGGAATTGCAATTTAGTATGTGTTCATAGCTACAATTGAAATTATAACTGCTTTTCTGAATTTATTTTGAGTTCACCTTTTCGAAAACATAATATTTTATACTTAAAAAAGAAGGAGACAAAGTTAAGATTTTTCTATTGACAAATGGCGAACAAAGAAAGAATCCAGGAAACAATTATACTCAATTGTTAAGACAATTTACAATTTTAACGCACGACTTATAATTTGAAACTAGAGAAGCTCCATTTCCCGCTCGCTCCGCTTACCTACCCCAGCGATTACTTTATAACTAATTACATTAAAGTAATTTAAGAAAAAAGTTTGCCAACTTACTTGGTTCCACAAATTTAGTTCTCGATTATATTGGAATAATAACTTATTTTGAACTTAAGTTATTAAATTCACAATACAACTTCATCCATTTTTTGCTTGTATGTTTTTAAAATTTAATGCTTAAAATTGGACATTTTTTAAACATTTGGCTTTACGTCTTATATTTTAATAGTTTCTATAATACATCATAAAAATGGTCAACAAGCACATTGTAAATGTAGATTACTCTATATCTAAAAAGGATAGGAGTTTAAAAATTTATTTCGACCATTTCAGCAAAGTTCTGCACAGAAAATAAAATAAAATCAACAAAATTAGTTTTATTTTTCATTTGAGGAAAGAAATAATATTTATGCTAAACACTAAGTCCTGTAAATTCAAAAGGAACTTAGAGGAATTTTTCTGGTGTCTTTAAGTTAAAATAATCCGATTAATTTTTTCAATGAAAGCAGATTATTTGGCCATATTTTTCAAACATTTGGAAAAAATCATTAGGGATTATACAATTGAAATAAAAAGCAAAAGAAATATTTACGAATAAAAAAGCTGAAAACTAAACTTAAGAATTACAAAACCGATTCAAAATGTTAAATAAGCCTTGTCGTT